TCACTTTTCACCTATCCGCCAACCTACCTTCCTCTGCCCCCCAGTCTTCAGCTGTCCCTCCTTTCCTCCCCCAACAGACTCTTCCCTTCTCTCCCACCTTTTTCTGTTTGCCCACTTCAGCTTCTACATCTTCTGTCTCCTTGTTTCTTTTATTTCATCTTTTTCAGTCTCCCCTCCCCATCCACTTTTGATTGACACCAAATTGAAGCTTGGCAGGCTCAGCAATGTTACTGTGTTGCTTGTAACCCCATAAATGGCCACCAAGACAATATCACAGTATCTCAGTGGGTATTCATCTCTTAAAGCTGCAGACATCGCTTCTATTATTTTAGGGTTTATAACCCTCCCAGTTTCTTTTTATATACATATACATATATACATACATACATTGCTGGGGCTTTTTCTGGGTTTGCAGGAAAATCTCCAATTTGTGGACTTTTTGATGCAGACTCTGAAGTCTGGTTTAAAATTTGATATTACAAGTGGGGGGGGCCCCCATGAAACTTGGGGGGGGAATCCCATCCCCCCCCATCACTGAGCCCAGTGCAGGCCCTGAAAGCAGGCTGCAAACATTTTTTTTTAATTTGGGGGGAATTTAAACCCCCAATGTATTTCTTAAACATTTCGGATTTTCCTACAAACCTGGAGGTCCCTCGAGTTTGCAGGAAAATCTGCTTAGTGTCAGTGCGGCCCTGGTCTGAGGATTTAAATATCCGCAGACGGAGGCTAGACTTTGCTGTTAGATAGATGATTTTCTGTTGACTTACCTTGAGGTCCTTGATCCCCGTCCGGTCCATCGATACCCCTACCGATGGCACCTTTGTCTCCTCTCTCACCAAGATCACCTACAGTGCCATAGGAAAAGTTTAAACTCAGCAAGAAATTTAAACTATGGGTAGCTTAGTCTGTCAGCTAGGAACGGGAAATGGTGGCAGAGAAAACAGGTTTGTGGATTAAGCAAGTTGCTCAATTTGAGCCCGAAACTGTAGGACACACGTCCGCGTAATGACTCTGTCCTTTTGTATTAGTTTGAAAATTGTTATTCCCACTTTCCAGTTAATGAAGCCTTAAGACTAAGTGCTTGTTCTGCCATAAAATTTGTCCATCCACCTGGAGGATATTACACTTACTGCTACTGACATTGTAACATCCCAAATCTCATTACTGGGGGGGGGGAGTTTCTGGTTTCCTAACAGGATCAAATCCTGACTGCTTTGTATGGGAGATTCTCCCACCTGCCCTTGCAGCAGTTTTGCTGTCCCTGTTCAAATAAAGTGGTTGAATGTCACACATATACTTCTGCACTGCGAATTTTATCAAGAAGAAAGGCTACAATTAATTATTCCATTGCTCTGCAGATTTAAACCACTACAATATTATATAGATTTTAGCCCTGAAACCCTTCGGTTTCATCTATTAGATGACAGCCAGAGAATTATATCATATGCAGTAGCAAAGTTCTGTGTGATAGTACTCAGAAAGCGGTGTCACTTGACGAAGTAAACGTCAGTTGCTGGGAAATAAATTAATTGAGTGTGTCGTTTACTATTTTGGTATAGACACACATGTCTTTCACCATTTATGTATTTATCCATTTTAAGATTTATGTTTAAAAGCTTATCCTATCCATTTTAAAATTTAATAAATTGTCCTTTTTATCTGTACCCATTGTGGCTGGTCTTATGGCGGTAATAAACTTTCGTACTTTTGGAAATCCTGACTGGGACTGGATATGTGTGTGTCAAGTGATAAACAGAGGTGAGTTTGCCATTGCCTGCCTCTGCGTTGCATCCAAATTGTCCTTTTTATCTGTACCCATTGTGGCTGGTCTTATGGCGGTAATAAACTTTCGTACTTTTGGAAATCCTGACTGGGACTGGATATGTGTGTGTCAAGTGATAAACAGAGGTGAGTTTGCCATTGCCTGCCTCTGCGTTGCATCCCCTGGGGTTCTTTGGTGGTCTCCCCTCCAAGTACTAACCAGGGCCGACCCTGCTTAAATCCCCCCCCCCCAATAAAAGGCATCTGTGCGTGCACAGACAATGCAGCTATCCAGTTTGGTGTAGTGGTTAAGTGTGCGGACTCTAATCTGGGGGAACCGGGTTTGATTCCCCACTCCTCCACTTGCACCTGGCTAGATGACCTTGGGCAAGCCGTAGTTCTGACAAGAGCTGTTCTTGAAAAAGAGCAGTTTCTATCAGAGCTCTCTCAGCCCCACCTACCTCACAGGGTGTCTGTTGTGGGGAGGGGAAGG